CCAAAGATCGACACTTTATCAAGCTTTGGACAAGTCTCTATGCATGAAACCCCTTATGGAGCTTGTTATGGCATTTTTAGCTCTAGATGCCATACATATATGTAAAGCTTACAGCTTTACGTGCTAAGCGAGCCTTAGAAGGTTAGATCCAGAGTATGAGACGTGATTTCTGCCTAAAAATGTCTGAATGAGGAAAGGGACTGAAGGGACTCGGTGAGTCGGTCTGACCCAACGAGTCAGTTAGGGTTTTTTCCAATGGGTCTGGATATAGTTTAACTCGACGAATTGACGAGACAACTCGACGAGTTGAGTTGGAATTTCACAATATTTCTGAGAAAATGAAGGAACTCGATGAGTAACATAGATGCACTTGATGAGTTGAGTTAACATGGATTCTTGACTTAAGTGTTGACCTTTAGGGTTTGGTCAATTGTGGACTTTAGAGGCCATTGAGGGGTAAAATGCTCTTTTCATCATTTTTGAGATTTAGTGGATGGGCTAGTTTAGCATCATGGAGTGGTTATTACAATTTCTTATGATATGATTATATTATGTAGGCATAGTCTACATTGTTCGTGGAGTGCTAGATCTACTTGTTTACTTTCTAAGGTGAGTCTTCTCACTATACTTACCATGAGTGGTATCATTGTGTGACAGATGAGTCTTGTATGCTTACATTGGGAATTTTGATATCCTGCATTATGTCTTTGTGATTTAGGTTGTGTATTATTCCGAGATTTATTGAGTTAGGACCGGAGGGTTCAACCTGAGTTGTGGGACCGGAGGGCTCCCATTGAGACACATTGAACGGATGGTCTTTATCACGATATAGCCATGAGAGGCTAATGTGATGTGTTTGGTATTTTGGGGAACTCACTAAGCATTGTGCTTAACGTGTTATGTGATATGTGTTCCAGGTACTTCTCAGGATCACGGGAAGGCACTGGCTTGCTTGTACACACAAGATGGAGTTATGTTTTTTTGACGATCCTAGATTAATATTCAAACAATTACAGATTTGTGCTTTTGATAATTTGATACTTTGGAGTTTTTGTGAAATATGTTAATGAGAATTATGTGATTCTAAAATGAAAAATTTGTTTCAAAATTTACGATGTTACAAGTTAAGCTCCAATGCCTTATCAAAGGCACCCTCAAAGTGTCGTATTCTCATTATGCACTAATTTACGATGAAAAAAATAGCAATAATGATACATACAAGGCATTCTGTGAATATAATGAGAAATATACAATTCATAGAAATTAAAGGAAGAAAGTTAGCATTTTATAAGAAAATACTAATATAATGTGATAAAAGATGCCTATAAAATGCATCTAATAGTCACCATATTAATTTTCACACATTATTGGTTTATATATATATATATATATATATATATATATATATATATATATATATATATATATATATATATATATATATATATATATGATCAAACAGGTGCTAAATGATCAATAGTCACGCCTCAAAAGACCTCGATGACGAATTACTTCTGTAGAGGCGAAGAGTAGGGTTACAAATAAAATTTTCAAAAACATAACTTCAGATACGTAGCATGCATGAATCTTATATACTAACCCTAGCAGTAAATACGAGTGGATAGGCCCAACTCATTTATACAAAATGCACTCAAAAGAATAGGCCAAATGACACAACACTTAATCTTCAACAAACTCCCCCTTTTCGTCCATTGTGATGACACCAGTTTAGTTCTTGATTCACTTATGCAATTCGATCAGTGAAACACTTCACATCATCCTTGTTGTTACCTCTGAACTTTGCAACCAGTTCTAGGATGAACTCCAGACATGAAGTGGTAAATAAGTGCTTGTCTTCAAGATGGAAAAATAACTTGCATCGATATGCTCCTTAACGATCTCTAGACGCATACACTATGAACCAACATTCTTTGAAAATGTTCCCTGGATTGAGCTTCTCAATGTCTTTTGGAACATATTTCCGAACAACACTTGGTTTTTGCCTCACAACAGTGGCAATCTCTACATCCATCGATCCAACTTCTTGAATATAAGATTTGATCAAAAGTTGAAGATGGGACACCACAGGTTCGTACTTCTCCTTGTTTCTCACCAGAATGTTGTATATCACCATCCAGTCACGGGGATTCAAACAAGGCAAGTCTGCGAGAGTGAATTCGCAGGCTTGAGATGAGGAACCTCTCGCAACGTTAAACCCCACATTAGGGAAGCTTTCGTTCTGGATTGGCCTAGTGACCTTTACAACAATAATCTTGCTCACACTCCATGTCTTGTACTGAGGCTTCATGTGCTTCAAGTAGAAGGCAGACAACATTTGATCCGCAGTGATGTCTGAGAAAGGTACATTGGTAATTTTTATAAAAGCCCGAAACCTGAATGCCTTTTGTGTGATAGGCAAGTCCAATTGTGAATCCTGTGTGTTCTAGATTTCAAAAGAAGCAATTGGATCCAACCAATACTGGCTTGGCATATCCACAACTTGGTTTTGCATTCCCTTTAGGGTCCACTTAGGAAATAAAAGCATTTTGCATTCTGTTCTCTACTTTTTCTTTTTCCTCTGCCTCTCTAATGATGTGAGCATGTTCATTAATCTCTGCTTCATGAGCCTTCCTCCTTTTGAGCTCAGCTTCATCAGGCTCTTCGTCTTCACTATCATCAATAATGGGTTCTTCAGTAAACATATTTTATTTCTTCTTTGGTTCTTATTTGATGACATGAGGTTTAAATGGAGCTTTGGGGCGGACATTCGTTTGATCTTTGGAGCTACCCTCACCCCTTGTTTCGGAATAGACATTGTTTGCGAAACACCCTCAAAATGGTGTAACATTGCAAGCATTGGTCTTAGCTTGTCAGCTAAATGCTTCTACACTATGATGGAGATCCTTGGATCACGAGTCTCAATGTTATCAGAGAGCAGTCTAGTGACATCAGAGATACAACTACGAGTGACTACCTTCTTGATGGGTTTTGAGCATTCTAACACTTCCTAAGTGTACATGCAACCCTAATAACCTTGGATCTATGTTTGTCTAATTATCATGCAAAGTTGAATTCCAAGGTTATATTCCTATCTAGCATACATGGGGAACAATTTTAACTAGAATAGTAGATAGAATAACTTACCTTGTTGTTGTTTGTGTTACTTGAAACCTTGTGAGCCTAGCACCCCAAGTGTGATGCCTCAAATGCTTCACACAACACCAAATGCTCTTGGAAGAACTTATGAGAGAACACACACTTCTCAAAAATCGGCCAAGCCCTCTTGTTTCTTAGTGTAGCCGATTTTAGGTGGAGAACATGTTACTTATATAGTGTTGACACATCTAGGGTTAAACCCTAATGTGTCATGACTCTTCATTTCCATGACCCATGGGTTTGTAACTCCCATGGAGCATCCATGGAGCATCCTATGGGTGGAACCCAACTTGATAGTCCATGGAGCCTTTTAGCCCACTATACAAGATATGGATGATTTACATAATCAACCCATATATTTAATTAGTTATCTTTTGATCACATAATTAATTCTAAATTAATTCTTGATCAAACTAATCAAATAATATTATTAATATATTAGAACTTATAATATATTAATAATCTCCAAGTGTTATTTCTCTCATTTAGTCTATCCAATTGCATGGCCATGCAACCCAAATGGACCATGCCGGGTCGGGTCAAGTACATACCAGAAATAGTTATGGACTTAGACACCTTATCCAACAGTCTCCCACTTGGATAAGTCTAATAACTATTACTGCAAGTATGACTTCAGGAACCGATCGGCAATCGTAGCTCTTTACAAGGTTTCTCGAACTGAGAAGATGATGGTACGCCATTTAAGATAAGTGATCATATAATCCTCTGTTCTAGATATCAGTCGGACAAATACATGGAACAATGTCTTACTTATTGTCCAACAGTTTGTTTCCCGATTTCCGATTTGTTTGACAAAGAACTTCATTGAACACATCAATTTAGTTCTGACCGGGCCCGGTACATAGGTCAAAACAAAATCATCGAGGGGCCCAGATATCAGCTTCTAATCCAAGAAGGAACAGATAAACTTCGACTCATATGTTTGTTCTACTACTCATTGAATTACACACAAGAGCGCGATTTATAACATCGAGTTACCAATGCGTTTTTCGTACAATCAATGCATAACCAACTTGTAAGTAACAAATCATATCTCTAGGTTTAAAGACTTATATGATATTACCGTCTCACGATCACTCGAGATAGAATTCCATGAAGTGATTCCAGTGAGCGTGGGTTGAGTCCAATGCTCAGAACTTATGAGCACTCATGATTGTTGTAGCCTTGTCCAAGACCTCTACAACCAAACATGACAGTCTTGATTCATACTACTTCCGACATATGACCGACTGTGGAGGTTTGAATAATATGTTATACCAAACAAAATTATTCTGGAAGTCAAAACATGCAAAAGAAATATAGTAAACGATCGACAAGAGATAGCAACACTTTACTCATAAATAAAACACTTTTATTCATCATCAAATGTCAATTACACTTTACAAATTTCGAGGTTATCTAACTACTAAATCTAATATCATCCTTCAGCCCTATGCTCCGAGCATGCTGGAGATGCTTAACCCGAGTCAGTCCCTTCGTGAGGGGATCTGCCGGATTCTCATCTGATGATACCCTCTTTGCCACGAGGAGTCCTTCTTCGATCCGATGTCTGATGAAATGGTATTTTCTGTCGATGTGTCTGGATCTCCCGTGATCCCTTGGTTCCTTGGCTAAGGCAACACACTTTCACTATCACAGAAAATTTCCATTGGCTCTTTAATAGCTGGTACAACTCCAAGGTCTCCAATGAAGTTCCTCAGCCATAACGCCTCCTTTGCCGCCTCGCTAGCTGCAATATACTCTGATTCACAAGTAGAATCTGCCACTGTCTCTTGCTTGGAACTCTTCCAAGAAATTGCTCCTCCATTTAGGGTAAAGACCCAGCCCGACTGAGAGCGGAAGTTATCCCTATCAGTCTGGAAGCTAGCATCACTATACCCTACAACTCTCAAGTCATCACTCCCACCGAGGGTAAGGACCCAGTCCTTAGTCCTTCGTAGGTACTTGAGAATATTCTTTACCGCAGTCCAGTGTGCCTTGCCAGGGTTCCCCTGAAACCTGCTAACCATGCTCAGGGCAAAAGCTACATCAGGTCGAGTACACGTCATAGCATACATGATCGATCCTACAGCCGAAGCATAAGGTACTCGACTCATTTGTGCTATCTCAGCCTCAGTGCTAGGGCTTTGTGTCTTACTCAGTTTGGCGTTACTCTGGATGGGCAACTCTCCTTTCTTGGAGTCTTGCATTCTGAATCTCTTCAGCACCTTATCCAAGTAGGTACTTTGACTAAGTCCAATTAGTCTTTTACTCCGATCTCTCAAGATCCTTATCCCTAAAATATAGGCAGCTTCACCAAGGTCCTTCATAGCGAAACACTTTCCAAGCCAGGACTTTACTTCCTGCAGGGTTGGAATGTCGTTTCCTATGAGTAGTATGTCATCCACATACAATACCAAAAGCTAACTATACTCCCACTAGCCTTGACATACACACAAGATTCATCTTCACTCCTAGAAAAGCCAAATTCCTTGACCTTTTCATCAAAGCAAAGATTCCATCTGCGAGGTGCTTGCTTTAATCCATAAATGGATTTCTCAAGCTTACACACTCTATTAGGGTACTCGTTGCTGACAAAACCCTCTGGCTGACTCATGTAAACATCTTCAGCCAACTTTCCATTAAGGAAAGCGGTTTTGACATCCATTTGCCAAATTTCATAGTCATGAAATGCGGCTATGGCTAACAGAACCCGAATAGACTTAATCTTGGCTACCGGAGAAAAGGTCTCATCATAATCCACTCCAGGAATTTGAGAGAAGCCCTTTGCAACCAGTCTAGCCTTATAAGTGTGTACTTTACCATCCATGTCGGTCTTCTTCTTGAAGACCCATTTGCACCCTACAGTCTTTCGACCTGGTACATTCTCAACCAAGTTCCAAACTTGATTGTCATACATGGATTGTATCTCGCTATCCATAGCCTCTTTCCATTTAGCAGACTCGGGGCCTGCCATGGCTTCCTCGTAGCTGTTAGGGTCATCTTGACTTACTAGTGTTCCATCACTAATAAGTGTCTCACCTTCTGCAGTAATATGGAATCCATAGTAATGCTCAGGTGCACTCCTAACTCTCGTGGAACGCCTCAGAGGTACAGATTCGTCAATTGGCTCAACAGGAGTTTCCTCCTCAAGTTGAGGGCTAGAGTTTGAAGTTCCTCACCACTTGACTCTTGAATTTCTTCAAGATCAATTTGCCTCCCACTGTCTCCTTGGCTTATAAACTCTCTTTCTCGAAAGACTCCTCTTCTTGCTACAAAGACCACATTGTCACTAGGTCTGTAGAAGAGGTAACCAAAGGATTGCTGTGGGTAGCCGATGAAAATACACCTCTCGCTTCGGGGTTCGAGCTTATCATGAGTCTCGCGTCTCACGAAAGCCTCGCAACCCCAAATCTTGATGTGGTCTAGTTTAGGTACTTTACCAGTCCACATCTCGTGAGGAGTTTTGGCAACTTTCTTTGTAGGGACTAGATTAAGGATATGGGCGGCAGTCTCTAAGGCATACCCCCAGAATGAGATTGGTAGCGAAGCTCGACTCATCATGGAACGAACCATGTCCAACAAGGTTCGATTACGCCTCTCAGCCACACCATTCAACTGCGGTGTCCTGGGAGGTGTCAATTGTGAGACAATCCCACATTCCCTTAGATAGTCGAGGAACTCTGAACTAAGATACTCACCACCCCGATCGGATCGAAGCATCTTAATGTTCCTGCCCAATTGATTCTCGACTTCCTGTTTAAATTCCTTAAACTTCTCGAAAGTCTCTGACTTATGCTTGATTAAGTAGACATATCCATATCTACTGTAATCATCAGTAAAAGTCAAATAATAACGATTAGCATCCCTTGTGGCATGTTTGAATGGTCCACACACATCCGTGTGTATAAGGTCCAACAAACCTTCACCCCTTTCACACGAGCCTGTGAAGGGTGACTTTGTCATTTTTCCAAGTAAGCATGATTCGCAACTATCATCTGACTTTAGGTCAAACGACTCCAAGACTCCATCCTTTTGGAGTTGGCCTATGCGTTTCTTGCTTATATGTCCAAGACGACAATGCCATAATGATGCTTTATCCAAGTTATTATTATTAGTAGAATCAATACACAAAACATTATTTCCTAAGTTATCTACAACAGACACAGCTTCATACACACCATCACAAGGTAATGCTTTAAAATAAAGAACATTATTAAAGAAAGCATCAATAGAACCAACTTCATTATTAAACGAAAAGGTAAACCCTTGTTTGTACAAAGCATGAAAGGAAATAATATTTCTTGCCATTCCTGGCGAGTAACAACACTTATTCAAATCTAAACTAAACCCACTACTTAGCGATAAAGTATAAACTCCAATCTTGGTGACAGGTGAAGCTTTCCTATTCCCCATGATCAAGTTTATTCTTCCTTGCTCCACATTCTCACTTCTTCTTAGTCCCTGCAAGTCACAACAAATATGAATACCACAACCGGTATCAAGGACCCAAGATTTAGAATGGGGTGAGTTATTAGAAATGATAGTGTAAATACCTGCATGGTTGGGTTTGACTTTCCCATCCTTCACATCCTGCTGGTACTTTGGGCAGTTCCGCTTCCAATGAGCTTTTTCATGGCAATAGAAGCATTCAGCCTCTTTTGGGTCAGAAGAAGGAGTAATGAAACCTTTCTTGGTTCCACTTGAAGAAGAGCCATCAAGGGTCCGAGCCTTGGTACCCTTCGAAGATCTCTTTCTCTTCCTCCCTCGACTTTTCCCGATTGCCAAAACCGGAGTTGAGTTTGGAGTAGGAGTGATAGCAACCGACTTCCCCTTAAGACCTGTTTCTGCGGTCTTGAGAAGTCCCTGAAGTTTGCTGAGGGTGACCTCTTCCTTGTTCATGTGATATGTCATGCGGAATTGATCATAGCACGATGGTAAGGAGTGCAAAATGATATCTATTGCAAGCTCCTCAGGGAAGTTCACATTAAGCTTCAGCAATCGATCCACATACCTTTGCATTTTCTGCATGTGGCTCGTGACGGAATCCCCGTCCTTCATCATGGTTGTTATCATGGAGCAGATGATTTCGTACCTCTCTTGTCGTGCACTTTGATGGTATCTTTCCATCAAATCTTGGTGCATTTCATAAGGGTAGAAATCCTCATAGGACTTTTGGAGTTTGCTGTCATTGTGGCCATCATGATGCATGCTACTTTCGTAGCATCCCTTTCATGTGCCTGAAAGTCAGCGATCTCCTGAGGAGTTGCAGTGGTCTCATCAATCTCCTTAAGCTCCTTGTCAAGGACATATTCTTTGTCCTCGTAGCGGGTAATCATCCTGATGTTTCTGATCCATTCATTGAAGTTGGATCCATCAAAGGTGACTTTCCCACACAAACTCATAAGAGTAAAGGAGCCATTAGGATTCGAGCCAGAAGCATTATTTGAAGACATCTGAAAGAGGAGAACAAGTTTAGTATAGATTTAAGAGAGTCCTTAATAAAACACCCAAATGTAATATTAAGGCTAGGATCCAATCACAATATAATATAACTTAGAAGAGGTATGCCGTAATCTAAGCTATACCATATTTGAAAGGTAGGTGAATGACGATTCACCAATTTCCACCACGAAAACCGAAATATTAGATATTAGGTTTTATTTGGTTTTAGAAATTCCTAGATTCTTTGAGATTCAATGAACTTTTCAAAGGCATGTTTCAATCTCGAGAGTGCCCTCCAAGTTTTGTGACTGGGATACCGAGGATCACAAAACGAGGTGTGAAGTAACCATGCAAATCACTTGGTACCCTTAAAGTTTATCACTCAATCGATGTGCCGGTAAACCACACACGCTCCACCGATACTATAATAAACCTTAAGTCACCCTTTACCTACCTTGTTAAGTCCAAGTTAGTGTGCCGGTTAACCACACACGCTCCACCAACGACTTAGACAAAGTGTAAAGTGTAATTTCATGGATTAGCACCTTATTCACATTTTCCTAAAGTAACTAAGATTGGGAATTTAATAAAACATTTAGTTACTTTATAATATTCATCATACTTTGAATGAGAGTTTATAAGTCCTTGTCTTACCCGTTCGGCTAACGACCCTCCACCAGTCAAGCAAGCGGTGGGTGAGAGTAGACACCCATTAAGTCACCATTTTATAGGCAACAACCTTATACCCACCTTATAGACCGGCTTCGTGAATGAGGCGTACTAGCGGTAAGACGACTTTATTCTTATACATATATATATAACTATTAAATCATCATAATATAAGTATAAGGGTTGAATTTTAACTTTTAAAATTCTAGGGGTTGGAACTTAAAGTTTTAACTTAACTTTTCTTGTTCCAAAACTTGAGGGCAAGTTTTGTAACTTTCAAAACTTTTCATTTCTTGTAACTTATGAGTTTAATAGAGTAATAAAATGAAGACTCTTCATTTTTCTAACTCTTGTGTTTGTTTTAATGGTTTTAATTAAAACACATTATGATCAAGAATTAATCTACCACATAGGTTACAAATAATTCCTATGATCATCTAAAACATCATAAGAACAAGAACATGAATATGAACACATTCATAAATCTAAATTACACTTCAAACTTTGTAATTTTGATAACTAGTTGTTGTAAATGAATTAGCAAAGACATTACACCACCTTAAACAAGTTTTCAATTACCAAAAAGTTTAGGGTAATGTTTCTAATTCATTTCCAGCAACTAAATCGAAATTCTGCAATCAGTCGACCCTACTCGCCGAGTGCATGAATTTACTCGCCGAGTTGGTTGAAGATACACGTGAACTCGCCGAGTCCCCCCTATAGACTCGACGAGTCCACTCGTAGACAGCAAGATTTTCGACTTTTTTTCAACTTTTAAGCACAAATAAAAAGCAAACAAGCCTAGGCTCTGATACCACTGATGGATTTTGAGCATTCTAACACTTCCTAAGTGTACATGCAACCCTAATAACCTTGGATCTATGTTTGTCTAATTATCATGCAAAGTTGAATTCCAAGGTTATATTCCTATCTAGCATACATGGGGAACAATTTTAACTAGAATAGTAGATAGAATAACTTACCTTGTTGTTGTTTGTGTTACTTGAAACCTTGTGAGCCTAGCACCCCAAGTGTGATGCCTCAAATGCTTCACACAACACCAAATGCTCTTGGAAGAACTTATGAGAGAACACACACTTCTCAAAAATCGGCCAAGCCCTCTTGTTTCTTAGTGTAGCCGATTTTAGGTGGAGAACATGTTACTTATATAGTGTTGACACATCTAGGGTTAAACCCTAATGTGTCATGACTCTTCATTTCCATGACCCATGGGTTTGTAACTCCCATGGAGCATCCATGGAGCATCCTATGGGTGGAACCCAACTTGATAGTCCATGGAGCCTTTTAGCCCACTATACAAGATATGGATCATTTACATAATCAACCCATATATTTAATTAGTTATCTTTTGATCAGATAATTAATTCTAAATTAATTCTTGATCAAACTAATCAAATAATATTATTAATATATTAGAACTTATAATATATTAATAATCTCCAAGTGTTATTTCTCTCATTTAGTCTATCCAATTGCATGGTGCCATGCAACCCAAATGGACCATGCCGGGTCGGGTCAAGTACATACCAGAAATAGTTATGGACTTAGACACCTTATCCAACACTTCTCTGCTATCAAATCATCGACTTGTTTATGAGCATATTGAAGCTTCATTTCCAACACCTTGCATTTTTCTTCCTTGATGGGAAGGGCATCAATGATCTTATATTCTATTGCAAGATCAGCCTAAAGCTTTGTTATTTTATCAGTGATTGAAGATTGAAATGCTTCATGATCAGACTTAAGCGCCTTGCAAAGCTCAACAAAGTTCAAATTTTCAGTTTGAAATAAAAGACCAATGTTCTGAATCGCCTTGTTCACAGCTACTGTGTTGGAGTTATAAGTGGTTTTGTAATCTTCCATGAATTCCAATGTGTAGGAAATTATTTTATCGACTTTTTCAGTCGTTGCTTTGCAGATATCAGTAGAATCAGAAACTGCCTTAGATTAAGTAGAAACATTGGAAGATTGTTCCTTTGTTACTCACTCAAGGATTGATTCAATGGTAGTTTTTGAGTATGCTTCAGAGGTGGAGGCTTTGGATGCGAGAAGTAGTTGATCAATCTTCTAATGAAGAGATTTGAGTTCCCATTTTTTAGTACAGACTTCATCTCCACTGTCAATCTGTATTTGAAAAGGACTGTAAGTGAATCCATCCAAATCATCATCTTCATCATCTCCGAAAAGCATTTTAGAGTCATTAGTGCGAATGGGAGAAATAGGTTGGGTAACATGGTTTAAAAAACCTAAAGTGTGAGACACCGTATCATATACGTTGACTGAACTTATAGGTGTAGCTGAGGTACGGTGCGATATCGTGGATTCAGTGAAAATAGGGATTGAGACTGGAACAGTTGTAGATGGTTGAGATGATACTAGTGGTGGCATAGGTGCGACGGTAATGGGATAGAAGCTATTGATTTTGGTGAGGGGGTGGAGAAGGAATAGAATCATTAAGTGATGGAGTTACTGTTGGGTTATGAGCATTCTAACACACCTATGGTGTACATGCAACCCTATAAACCTTGGATCTATGTTTTCTCTATAATACATGCAAATAAGAACTTTCCAAGGCTTTAATCCTAACTAGCATATTATGAGGTTCTTATACTACAAAGTACTAGTTAGATGACATACCTTTTGATGTAGCTTGATGTCTTCAATCTTTAAGAGCTTAGCCCCAATAGTGTGGAAGCCTCAAATGGAATCACAAATCACCAAATCACCTTGGAAGACTTTAGAGAATATGAATATTTGGTTCTATCTTGTGAAATCAACTAGCCCTTCATAGTGTACCACACTAGTGCCAATTTCACCAACCAAGGACATTTTTATATAGTGTGGAGGATTAGGGTTAAACCCTAATACCCATGACCTTTCATTTCCTAGGATCCATGGGTTAAACACTCCATGGACTATCCATGAAAGCTTAGCCCAACCTAAATGAACTTGGCCCATTCCATATATATAAGAGTCCATATTTAATTAGTTCCTTTTGATCACTTAATTAGTTATAAATTAATTCTTGATCAATACTAATTAAATAATATGATTCCATAATAATATATTAGAACTTATAATATATTAATATGTAATCATAAACATACTATTCTCAAAAGATTATCCATATAAATTGTGTCGGTGAAGTGCAACCCAAATGGACCATGCCGGGTCGGGTCAAGTACATACCAAACATAGTTATGGACTTAGACATTAATCCAACAGTTACCTCATGAATCGGAGACGTAGCCTCAGTGTGAACAGGTGGTTCATTGTGAATCTGTTCTAGTTCCTCAATGTGAACTGGTTCATGTTCCTTAGTGTAATTGGATCCATCATCTTTATTCTTAACTGTTGGATCTTGCACAATACAAATGTCCGACTCAGTTTCGAAGTCAGAATCCTCACCTTCACTGTGAGATGGAGAAGGAGTGGGAGACTTTCGTTTTTTAGCATGTTGCTCCTTCTTTTTGGTGCAGCAATTGAAGCAGCAGGAGCCTTTTGCTTCTTAGAGGGAGATTTCACAGCCTCAGAAGGTCCTTCTTTCGTAGTGACTTTCTTATTTGTTTTCTTTGACCCTTTGCTCCCTTTCTTAGCTAAATCTGCCTTATCCAAAATTACTTGAAATTCGTCAGACAATGGACAACGACTTGAAGGAGTAAGAGCACGATAACCCTACAGAATTTTACTCAAGGGAGGAACATCACGAAACATAACCTCATCGAGCCAATAAAGGAAAACTTTGATTGATCTGCCAAAATGATGTTAGTTGTATGGAGGGTTCACACCCCAAAACCAAGAATGGCGGAAACGTTCTAGGGCGGAGGACGTCATGTAAAGTATCACAACACAGTAAATGTAAATAACCAAACAACATCATCCATTGCATTAAATATAAAATTTTAATACAAGCGTGTTTCGTACAGTTTTAGACACCAAAAATATAATGTAAATCAAAATAGTATGATGAGTCTTGAATGCGCTCCATATTCTCAAAAGCTAGCATCGGTACCTATCTACTGATGACCTGAGAATACAAGTTATTTTGAAAGAGTTTATCAGCATTAAGCTGGTGAATTCATAAGTATTTTAGTGATGAGGTTTATTATCAAATCGTTTGAACCTGTCGCAAGTATGAGTTGTAAATGTATGTAAGTGTTTGTAAAAGTTTGAATCTCTTAGAAAAACCTATATTTTCTGTTAAAGTAGCCCTCTACCAAGGCTTAACTGTTTTGTATGCTCGTTTGATGTAAAAGTGTGTAATTTCCCAAGTGTAACTATCATTTAACAAAATATAGTTTGTACATTAAAGTTTAAGTGAGGTTATCACCAAAATGTAATGGGTAAATTATTGTAGTACTGTAGTTTTGTTTTATAGGAACTACTGCAGTACTAACTACCTTAAACCGGGTTTATATTAAGGTATCATGTGATAAATTTCACCATACTATCGACTGGTAACATCGACAACGTATAGTCGAAAAATAAGGTATGACGTTTGGCACCCGCAGACCTGTTGGTCCCACTGTAGCTAGCAGCGAGGTGTAGGATAGTCAATCCAGTATAGATCTATATGCAAACTCACGCTCTCCCTCCAAGAGACTCTGGCCATAACTCGGGTCATGACAATTAAGATATGCTCCCATACAGTGGATCACAATTGTTAACGTATTCGTGTATATGCAATATAATGTTACTTGTTCTAGTATTGTTGTATATGTTCTCTTAGTAATAAGTATTGACTCCTGAATGAACTGACTCGTTGATCTAGAAATTGTAGTAGTATGATCCCGTGTTACCATGATGGTAACTTACTAATGATGTGCTGATAAGTATGAATATGGAAGTACTTTTATGTCTATACATGTATATATGATATATAACTAATATTGAAACGACCCTCGGATGGTCACCCGAAATCCCACCAGACCACATCTCAGTGCGCGAAAAGGAAATAGGGCGGATGGCCTTCCTAAGCCCTTTAAACATTACTTATATATCTATACATATATGGGCATGCAATTTGTAAGTAGTAAAACAAAGTTTAAATAAAAGCATTTGATAAGTAAAAGTGTTTGTAAAACATTTTGAAGTAAAATAGTTTGAACAGTGATAGAATCATTGGTTTCCTAGTTATTAATCACATGTGATTAATGCAATCACATGTGATCATTAATCACATGTGATCGAAGCAATAACTATAAGTGTTTAACTTGTATCCCCCCCCCCCATAAAGTATTTAAAACATTTAAAGCATTTCAAAGGTTGAATAAAGGGGGTATGAACTCACTTGGAAGCTTGAAGATATCGAGATCGAAAACCGGGCAGAGTTTCGTCTCGGGAAACGGATTTTCCACGAAATTCTCGGGAATCTCGAGAGTAAAATCGACTCTCGGGACTTGAGCAAAAATGACCAGGGCTTCGGGGTAGTGCGAGCACGGAAAACGAGGTAAAACGCAAGAAAAAGGAGAGTGAATGAGCAATTTTTCCGGAACCCCTCGCACCCCTTTTATAGGGGGCTGGAAGGCCCTCGTACGCGGGGCGTACTCCCGTACGCGGCGCGTACGGGACGTCACTGCTTACATATTTCGGATGGGACGGCGGGTCGGGTAGCTTCGCATAGGGCGACGTGGACGATCCGAGGCCGTGCCCTCGAGTACGCGGGGCGTACGAGGGTACGCGGCGCGTACCTCGGCCCTAGGCTGATTCCTCTTCGGATAATACCGAATTTTTAATAAAAATTATATATAAATTATTTATCAAACTTCAAAAATTCATATCTCCTTCATACGAACTCCGTTTTCGACGTTCTTTATATCCCCGCGAAGGTGAGACTACGATCTACAACTTTCGTTTAGATTCCGTTGGCAAATTCCGAAATTATTTTTATTATTTAATTATTAAAATGACGTGATTAAGGAATTTCTTTAAAAATTCATAACTTCTTTATCTGACGTTGGTTTTTGCCAGACTTTTTACCGTTGAAATACCATTGTCGAGACCTTCGATTCTCGTTTAGGTCATTCCGGCCAAATGTCGCTCGATCTCCGTTTCGAGTTTTTAGCTGTCTGTTGCTAAGCTAAACTTGGAAAAATCATAACTTCAATATAGGAAGTCGGATTTGGGCGTTCTTTTTACGTACGATCATGGTTTAATGATATTTAAACATAGAAGAATTTAAATAGAAACTTTTTGGACATTTTATTATCAAAGTTAATTTTATTAACTCAAAAATGTTTACAATACTTGACCTATTAGGCCATTACAAAGAGTTGAAATATCGGGTTGTCACATCATCCCCCCGTTAGAGGGAATTTCATCCCGAAATTCAAAGTAAGAGAACACTCGTTGATTAGGGAAACAGATGTGGGTACTTGCCTTGCATCTGATCTTCGCGTTCCCATGTGAATTCAGGTCCCCGCTTAGCGTTCCAGCGAACCTTCACGATGGGTATGCGACTTTGTTTTGTTTGCTTGACCTCTCGGTCCATGATTTTTACTGGTTCTTCCACAAAATTGAGGCTCTCGTTGATCTTGATCTCGTCGAGTGGGATTACGAGAGTCTCATCGAATATACACTTTTTCAAGTTAGATACGTGGAATGTAGAATGTACGTTACGAAGTGCGCCGGGTAGATCGAGTTTGTAAGCTACGGGGCCGACTCTTGCAAGAATTTCGAAAGGCCCTATGTACCTCGGATTAAGCTTCCCACGCTTGCCGAAGCGTATCAAGCCCTTCCAAGGTGAGACTTTGAGAAGGACTCGGTCTCCCACATGAAATTCCAAAGGTTTCCTTCGTTTATCTGCGTAGCTCTTCTGTCGGTCTCTAGAGGCTTTCAATCGTTCACGGATCTGAACGATCTTCTCTGTCGTTTCCCGGATGATATCCGGACCGGTAAGAGTAATGTCGGAAGCTTGCCCCCTTGCTAGTTGGGTATCACCCACCTCAGCCCAGCACCGAGGGGATCTGCACTTTTGGCCGTAGAGGGCTTCAAATGGAGCAGCCTTGATGCTCGTGTGATAACTATTATTATAGGAAAACTTGACAAGGGGTAAATAAGTATCCCATGCCTTCCCAAAGTCAATCACGCAAGCTCGCAACATATCTTCCAGTGTTTGGATGGTCCTCTCACTCTGTCCATCGGTCTGAGGATGGTAGGTTGTGCTTATGTCTAGCCTTGTTCCTAGGGAATGTTGTAGTGATTGCCAAAATTTTGAGGTAAACCTACTATCTCTATCGGAGATAATGGACATAGGTACACCATGTAGCCGTACGATTTCCCTAATGTATGTTCTCGTAAGTTTCTCCATCTTGTCAGTTTCTTTGATAGGCAGAAAGTGTGCAGACTTGGTTAATCTATCAACGATGACCCATATGGTGTCAAGTCCA